CGCTCAAGTCTGTCCCTCCTCAGAAACGAGCAGATTGAGCGGGGCAGATTGGACGCGGTTGGCCAGGGTCAAGTCGCCTGTTGTGGGTTGAGCAAAGAGCAGCACCCCGCTGAAGCCACGGAGCTCGAATGTCCATCTTAAAACTAACTTTACCGCGGTTTATTGTGGTGCTATGGCTCTGCAGACATTGCACGATGCTGTCTTGTTTTGTGGTGTTTCTAGTGTAAAATACTTCCACACAGCGGACATGTTTAGATGAAAAGTTTGTTAGCTGTTAGCCACAGTGCTGCTAACTCAATCCTCACGTAGTAGCTGGTTGCAAACTATGAAATGGATTTCCTGAATGTGAAGCGGGTCTTATTACTCTGGGTTCATGAGATACGCCGCCATTCAGGAAATCCATTCCATAGTTTGAAGCCAACATGCATCATGGATCGGAAATATCGGCAGGTGGATCGGAAAAATCCGATACGTAAATTATGCTGGTATCGGAGGCCCATACCGATACTGGATCGGATCGACCCCATCCCTACTTTCTACCGTCCTCATGCAATGGCACTTGATAGAACCCACTAGCTACATCCATTGTAGTAAATACTTTTGACCCGACAAGTCTAGGTAGTATTTCCTTGACAGTTGGCAGCATGTACTTTTCACGTTTTACTGCTCTGTTAAGCCTCCGGAGGTTGGCACAGCATCGAACCTCCTGCTTGTTGGATTTGAGAACAGGCACCATGGCTGCACACCACTCAGTTGGCCGAGTCATCTTTTCTATATCTTCAGTTTCCATCCGATGCAGCACTTTCTTTACAAGAGGGACGAGTGGAAGGGGTATCCCCCTCACTGTGTGCAGAGCATATGGCTGGGCGTCGTCCTGTAGGACTTTTCTCACTGACTCTGTATTCAGTAGTCCTCCTGACCTGAAAACGCCAGTGAGCTCATCCACTCTTTTCACGAGGCCCATGTGTACAGCTTCATGACAACCAAGAAGACAGCTGTCATTTCCTCTAATAACATATACTTTAAATGAGTACTCCTTCTCTTTGTACTTTATCATAGCCTGAAACAACCCCATGTAGCTGAGGTCCCCTCCTGGGATAACTAAGCTGGTGACTGGTGGCTCAAGCTCGATTTTGGGCTTCGTCGTTTTAAATGTCTTTAATAAATGTGGCATCTACACCAGTATCTATTTTAGAAGTTAATGGGATGCTACTCGCATCCAAAGTTACTGAGCAGTCTTCCTGGCTGCTGGTCTTTCCACTAATTTCACCCAGAAAATAAGGCTGCGCTGCATCACCTCCTCTCTGAAATTTCTCTCACTTGTTTTGAGTGACACGAATGCTCCCAGTGTCCCTGCTTGTGACACTTATTACACTTGCTCTTGAGTGTGGGGCATTTTTTTATATCTGGGTGCTTGGGTCTACCACATCTCCCGCAGCTCTTTGATTTCTGGGCTGCTTGGTAGTGACTGCCAGCCTGCCACTGTCTCTGTCATCCACCTCTTTCTGCCTGTGGGCCGCTGTGACGACATAGCACATTTACGTGAGCCTCGTGCCAGTTAGACTGAAGGCTGACTTGCTTAGTAACCTTCTGCCTGCTGCACGTGTTAAATAACTTTGTTTAATGTTAGGTCTGCTTTAAGTTGAAACCTATGGGACAGTTCTTTATCCTTGATGCCCACAACTAGGCGGTCTCTGATGTACTCGTCACGCTTGTCCTCAAACTCGCAGTGCTCCGCTAACTCGTACAGCACTCATATACGGCTCCGCCGTCTCCCCCTGCAGCTGGCTACGCTGATAAAAGCATGCTCACTTGTGTATAACATTGCGGAGATGAATGAAGTAATCATCAAAATTTTAAGACGCCGTCATAGTTTTTCTTTTCTTCTTCCTTAGCAAAGTTGAACTAGCTAAATATCTTATCAGCTTCGCTCCCCATAGAGTAAATGAGAGAACTCACTTGTGTTTCTCCGTTTTCCTTATTTAACTTTGTTTCTAACCAGTAACGCAAAAATCTCTGTTTCCACTCCGGCTATTCAACAGGACAGTCAAACTTGAATTCACTCGGTGGGTTAAACTTCGCCATGACAAAAGTTGTCCTTTAGGCAAAAGAAACGTCATCTTCTGACGCCATAAAGGATGAGGATGCAGCTTCTTGTGCTCAGACATCTTTATTTTACTCTCTTACATTCCAACGACGACAGTACAGTAGTACCCAGAATTCTTTGCACACACATCTCGTAAAGTGACAGTACTTTAGTATTTACCATTCATTACAACCACCAGCATTACCGCCACCAGCTGGTAAGGCACGTGGCATCAATATTTGAACTCTGAACCCACCCACTGTTATGGAGTGTAATGGAAAACCAGGTGTCCCATGCTGTAGTGGCACTGGATCCAGGACAGTGGCCCCATACTGAGAGATTGTTTTGACCGAACAGACTAGCAGGTTTTCAGAAAAGCTGCTGAAAATGGAGGATCGCTTGATCTGGACCAATACACATCCTCAGTTCTGGGTTACATTAGTACATGTACTGAAACGTCTCCACTATCAGATATGTTAAAAGCTACCCAAACAGAAAACCTTGGCTGAATGCAGAGGTGCGCACCCTGCTGGAAGCCACGAACACTGCCTTCAGGTCTGGAAATTCAGAGGAGCTGAGTAGGACAAGGAAAGAGCTGGTTGCTGGTATTAAGAAGGCCAAGGGCACATATGCACAGAGGATTGAGGGTCAATTCATCTCACAAGGCCCTCGGAGCATGTGGAGGGGCATTAAGTGCATAACAGATTATAAAGGACGAATTGAACAATGCCCCAAAGACTCATCTTTGCCTGATGCCCTCAACAAGTTCTATGCACGCTTTGAAGACCCGAACAGACCACCCAGCACCAGACTCACCTCACCACCGGATGAAGAGCATCTCAGCGTGACCTCAGCCGAAGTAAGGAGTACTTTCAGGAGGATTAATCCATACAAAGCAACTGGCCCAGACAGCATCCCCGGAAAAATGTTGAAGGAATGCGCCAATCAGCTCTGCATGGTGCTGGCAGACATCTTTAACACCTCACTTACCCTGGAGACAGTTTCCACCTGCCTGAAGACTGCCACCAACATTCCAGTTCCTAAAATCTCTACAGTGACTGGTCTGAATGACTATCGACCAGTGGCCCTCACCCCGATAGTCGCTAAATGCTTCAAAAAACTGGTCATGACTCACATCAAAATAACCATCAACATGAACAAGGACCCTCATCCGTATGCATACCGTGAGAACCGATCAACAGAGGATGCCATCTCCTCTGTGGTCCACACTGCGCTCAACCACCTGGAGCAGAAAAACTCTTATGTCTGTATGCTGTTTGTGGACTTCACATCTGCCTTCAACATCATGATCCCCCAAACCCTGATGGACAAACTATCCACATTAGGACTTAGCCCCTCCATTTGCAATTGGGTACTAGACTTCTTAACAAACAGACCACAGTTAGTGAGGATCCACAACTTATCCTCCTCCACCATAACCCTCAGCACTGGCTCTCCTCAGGGATGTGTGTTGAGCCCCCTTCTGTTTACTCTGCTCTCGTATGATTGTGCAGCTACCCATCCAGGCTGTCTCATTATAAAGTTTGCAGATGATACAGCGGTGGTGGGATGCATCACAAACAATGATGAGTCCAGCTACAGGCAAGAGGTGGAACACCTGGAGAGCTGGTGCAAAGAGAAAAACCTTCATATCAATGTGAAGAAGACAAAGGAGATGATTGTGGACTTCAGAAGGAACAAAAACATCTACACCCCCTGAACATAAGAGGACCTGTGGTGGAAATGGTCTCCAGCTACACGTACTTGGGTGTACACATGAATGACAACCTCAGCTGGAGCAACAACACCACCAGCCTGATCAAGAAAGCTCATCAGAGACTGTACTTCCTCAGGCGGCTGAGACGAGCTGGTCTGGGAAGCTCAGTCCTCACCTCCTTCTACAGGTGTGCAGTGGAGAGCATCCTGTGCTTGAGCATCAATGTGTGGCATGGAGGCTGCACAGCTGCAGAAAGAAAAGCTTTGCAGAGAGTGGTGAAGGCTGCACAGAAGACTGTCGGAGTCAGTCATCCCACCATCACAGACATCTACACCTCCAGATGCAGGAAGAGGGCCACCTGCATCATGAAGGACCTCACTCACCCAGCACACACACTTTTTGCCCCACTCCTCTCAGGAAGGAGGTTGAGGAGCATTAAGTGTAGAACCACTAGACTGAGGAACAGCTTCTACCCTGAGGCTGTTAGACTCATGAATCTCTAACTAGAATAATCACTGTGAAAAACCATATCATGTTGCTGCTGATCTGTTTCATGTTGCTGCTGATCTGTTTCATTGTTGATGTGTTCATGTGTGCACATCTGCTCACAGACTCATGTTCATGTTTGTGCTGATGTTCAATGTTTTATGTTATGAGTGCTTAGTGTATATTTAGTTGATGTTTTTCTTAGTTCATATCTTAGATGTCATTACTGTTTTTATTTTACATTTTATTGTTGGATGTAACTGGGACCCTGTGTACATAATTTCGCTCCACCACATGAGGTGTGAATGACAATAAAGAATCTCTGATACCCTGACTCTGACTAATGGAAAAGAGGCATTAGTTAGTTTGTGTTAGACTATTTGGTAGAGTAACCATGAGTGAGGGAGGTAGTTGTCATGAAGACCTATGGGGTTCACTCTGTCTGTGTGTTGAACAGAAAGATAAAGTCTATGAAACTCCATCTGGTGGTTGATTCTTGAACCACAACAAGAGCTGCACGTCTCTCTCAGTAGCTGTGTGCTGACACTCGTTACAACATGACCACCTGCAACTTATACACAGGCGCAGCTTATTTTTGTACAAAATTGTTTTTTATTTTTTATTTAGTGTGCACAGCTTATACTCAGGTGCACTCTGTAATCCGGAAATTATGATAGTTTCTTAGTTTTTTTTCTTCCATCTGTCTTGTAGGTGTCTCAGGAGGTGAACTCCCAGAGGAGGAAGCAGCAGTGGAGGCATCTGGAAAAGCGGGTCTCTTTCTGGAAGAAATGTCACAAGCAGCTGGAGGCAGATGGTATTGATCCACATTTAGCCTCTCAGTTCTTCCTGTCTCAGAGCGAGTGTGGGACCACCGACCCCCCTGCTGGTGCCGAGGCTCAGACAAAGCTTCTTGACATCCTGGAGCGCAGCTTGTTGCTGCAGCTCACGGCTCACTGGCTGTCTCAGCTCAGCCCATTTCCTCTGGACGAACTGGAGAAGCTAGAAAAGAACCTGTGGCTCAACCGCATCCACAAAGACCTCCTGACTGCTGCAATGGAACAAGAGAGCATGTTCAACCTGCCACCAGCTGTCTCACCTGAAACCAACGCCTACCAGGAAGTCCTGAGGGACTTCTCCTTCTCTAACATCACAGAGCTGAACACAGACAGGTTCCTGAGCCTGGAGGGACTCCCGGATCCCTCAGAGGAGCAACAGATCGAGTCAGAGCTAAGTGTTGAAGAAAGAAGAGTCCTCACAGCTCTTGTTGATCAGTTACTGGATGAAGGCAGGATCCATGAAGCCAGCCGGGTTTGCTGGTATTTCTCCATGACCCACCCAGATGTGTGGGTGGTGCTGCATTGCCACTCCTTGGCATGTGGACACCTGAGACCTGAACCACAAGAGGAGCCTTCAGAAATAATGGAAGGACAGAACATGCCCTCATGTGAGCTTCCTGCAGCTTCTATACTGCTGCCTTCTCCAGCAGCTGTCTTATGTCTTCCTCTTCTCTCCTCCTCCAGCCTTCTCACATAGCAGCCTGTCGTCATTCGTGATGCAGCTTCCTGAAGACACGACCTCTGTCCAGCTGCAGAGACTGAAGGCTCGGTGTCACCATGGAAACAACTACTGCAAACAGGTCTTGAGCCTCTACCAGCTCTCCCAGGTACACCGCTGCTGCCTCTGAAGACCAGGGTTTGACCAAGTTAGATCACATCCTCACAATCAGAGTCATTGCAACAATAGGTCACACTGATGCCCATGTCCAGCTATCACTGTGCGAGAGGCGGGGACACCCTGGACAGGTCTCCAGTCCATCACAGGGACACCTGGACAGGTCTCAGTCCATCACAGGGACACTTGGACACGTCTCCTGTCAGTTCAATTCAAAACAGTTTATTTATATAACACCAAATCACAACAAAGTTGTCTCAGGGCACTTTACATGAACATTCACATAAAAGCCAATTAGTAAAGTTCTCTATCTAAGGAATCCAGCAGACAAGTTGAATATTGACTTCGTTGCAGTCTCCCATCCTGAGCAAGCACAGTGGCAACAGTGGAAAGAAAAAACTCTCTTTTTAAAGAAAGGAAGAAACCTCCAGCAGAACCAGGCTCAGGACAAGCGGCCATCTGCTTTGACCGGCTGGTTGAGAGGACAGGAAGGAGAGACAGACGAACACAGACTGGTAGGTCCAGATATAAGTCCAGGTCCAGATATTAGGTCCAGGTGTACCTGAAATACAAAAAAAAATACTTGTTAAGGATAGAAAAAATAATTACAAATACAAAACAGGTTGAGCAGAGTAAGTAAAGACAGTAGCAGAGTGAAAAGTGTGGTCAGTTTGTCCTCCAGCAGTCTAAGCCTATAGCAGCATAACTAAGGGACAGCTCAGGAAACCCAAGCTGACCCTAACTATAGGATTTAGCAAAGAGGAAAGTCTTAAGCCTAGTTTTAAAACTGGATAATGTGTCAGCCTCACGGACAGAGATTGGAAGTTGGTTCCACAAGAGAGGAGCCTGAGAACTGAAAGATCTGCCTCTCATTCTGTTTTTGTAAATTCTAGGAACCACAAGTAAACCTACAGTCTGAGAGCGAAGTGCTCTGTTAAGATAATATGGAACAATAAGATTTGTAATATAAGATGGAGTCAGGTTGTTGAGAGCTTTGTAGGCTAGAAGTAAGATTTTGAATTAATTTCTGGATTTGACAGGGAGCCAGTGGAGAGAAACTAAAACTGGAGAGATATGATCTCTCCCACTAACTCGAGTTAAGACTCTGGCAGCAGCATTTTGGATCAACTGAAGACGTTTTAATGAAGTATTTGGACATCCAGATAATAAACCATTGCAATAGTCCAGTCTAGACGTGACAAATGCATGGACCAGTTTTTCTGCATCATTTTTAGATGAGATGTTTCTAATTTTAGTGATATTATGCAGGTGGAAGAAGGTGGTTCTAGTGACTTTTTTAATGTGGGGGATAAAAGACATGTCCTGATCAAAAATAACACCAAGATTTTTAACATTGGAGCTGGAGGACAGATTAATGCCATCTAAGGAGGGAGAAAGACTGAAAAATTAATTCCTAAGGTGCTCAGTCCAAAAACCAAAACCTCAGTCTTGTCTGTGTTCAAAAGGAGAAAATTAAGGTTCATCCAGGTTCTATTTCGTATAAGCTTCGCCCTTTAAGGCTGTCGCTGATGGGTTTATCCCGATATGCTAAGCATTGCACTGAAAAATTTAGTCCACGCCCACCTGCTGTGTGGGCCCCACACGGTCCGTATAAATTACGTTAAGAGCGGGAAATCGGCTCCCATTTTTTCTTCAGCAAGCTAATAGCACTGTCAGAAGAACGAAGAAGGAAAGTTGTGTAGATGACCAACCTTTGTTAAGAATGCTTGGCCCGGCACGTCGACCTCTGGTCGTCCGGTGAGCTCTCCTCCCCGAGGAGAAGCTGACGAGCAGTCTTGTTTCAAGGTAAGCACCGAGGATTATTTCTCAGTGACAGGTCACTACACGCTGGACAACACCATCTTGTAATTTTCCTCTTATCGCCGACCTTCGGAGCGAGTCGGATGGTTCCTCTGGGACAGGCGGCGCTCAGCTGCAGCCCCCCGCTGCTCATTCCCTCCTGGAGAGCGTAGTGTCGGTGGAGGGGGGCTGAGCGAATGCTCACCTCATCCCACCTCGTTTCGCATCTGCGATCACACCGCTCCCGGCCGACAGCGCCCTTTGGGGTTGCCTGGCGTAACCCAGGAGGCGGCTGACATGAAGGGACCCTCTTTTATGTCCCACGCCTTTTCCCGCCAGTTCAGATGATCCGGCGGGAAGGTTGTTTTTACTAGGTTCCATTCCGGCTCACCGTCTTGATCCATCTGGCCTCGTTTTCCCAACAGGACGTCCTACGGGCGAGGCCACAGCCGGTTTTTCCTGGTAGATTGGGGGGGGGGGGGGGGGTCTCTGAGCAGAAAGTCCCTCAGTGCCCCCTGGAGCCGAGCCTGACGGAGGCTTCATTGGAGCAAGATGTTCCAGGTGGACCAGCGTCCCGTGCCTCCGGTTAGCGTAACTGAGACTGTGACTCTGCTCTCCAACTGAGCTCACCAGCATGCGCTCCAGACGGCCGCAGCGAGCAACACGTTACGCTGTTGGCGTACACGTTCAGAGGCGGGAAGAGACGGCGGGCTCTCTGACCTTCGGCTCGCTCCACTCTCGTAGCGGCTGCTTGCTAACGATGCTGTTGGCCCCTGCAGTACGCTCCGTCTACAGGGCAGCTGACGTCATCATCAACCGGTGCGCCTCTTTTGCTGTCTGCCGCCCCGCATCGCAGCCAGAGAACGAGGTCCCAGAGGTTCTCCTGGCTCGTCACTCCATCTTCCTCTCAGGAGAGCTGCAGAAGCTTTTGTTGGAAGGCCTTTTTTCATCAGCGAGAGAACATTTCAAGATGCTCCATGGTTGCACAATGCCTCCCCATCTCTGTTACGCCAGCCCCTCCTGTCAGACGTCCCCGGCATCCGGAAGTTAATTTTTTTTCCCGGATTTCGCCAACAGGGGGCCCTCTAGGACAACAAACAGAGCTCAAGGGAGGATAACCAGGTGTCGGTTTGCTAGAGGTGTGTTGATGACATGATGTGAAATAAACATCATTTTATGATGAAGTGTCTTTTAGCCAGGCTGTCAGCACGGATGATCTGACAAGCGGCCCCATCACACACACTCATCACGAATGAGCCTTTTAAGGTTGTTTTCATTCACTGCCAGCGGTGCCAACACGCGCTCCCGCGGCATGAAAGCACGCACACAGCTCTCAGCGCCCGCCGTTCACGTCAACGTTAACGTGAGACCACGGTACGAGCCCAGTAACGTATCTCGCTCTCGGCAGGAGCGACACGCGTTTTCATCGCAGTGGTGTCAAACGCGCGCTCCTGCGACGTCAACAGTTTCACAAGCCTCACAGTGGCTCTGCACCTTCATCCTCGAAGAAGGTTTTCTGAATTAATACTGCAGCTCGTGGAATCACTCAAAAGCTCACGTGATTCGCAGCCAAGAATGAACATGTTTCTACAGACCGAGCCCAGTGGTAACCTCGCCCCACCAATGCCGCGCGCTGCTTCCTGACCACACCAGCGTCAAAAGCGCGCTCCCGCGGCAATCCTGGCTTAAGGCATCGCATGAATGAGGGCGCGCACACACGACTCTTCAGGGCACGTCGGCTCATATGTGCACCCGCTTCCTGAGCGGTTACACGGATCAGCTGCACACAACGTGAGCACAACACATGAGCTGCGTCCCGCAGCATCAGCAAACGCACAACGATGTGCATGCTCGGGGGTGCGCGTGTTTTCTTTCTCCTTGAGCGCGCACCAGCTCACATCAGCATGCATGTGAGTTTCACAGCATAAACGCGTGCCCTGCTTTATAACTTTATAAACAAATGGCAATGAGCGCGCACTCCAGACGGATAGGCAAACCGTTTTTTCATTCGGGGATTCACGCTGCAGTACAGCTCAAACCCCGGTGCAGAGGAACTCTAATGACGTTTTCTGTCATTTCTGAACAGATCTCGTCCCCTCTCGCAGAAGCTCAGGAAATTCTGATTAAAATGTAATTTTCCAGAGTCTCAGAAGGAGAGGAAAACGCAGGGTTCCTCTCTCAACACTCCCTGGTCCCAACGAACTGGAAAGATGAGATTTATTCTAGATTTCTCAATTTTGAACTGTGAGAAACAACACTCCATTAATGTGCCCGAGCCGCTCTGCAGCCGCCGCACAGATCAGGGAAGAGAATTCTGCTTATCTGGACATCTGCTGCTGCTGAGCAGTCTGTACAGACAGGTGGCAGCAGTGCAACTCACGTGAACCGGTTGAGTGATATCAGCTGTTTTCTGTCAGCAGACCTACGTCACACACGTGAGACTTCACAGAGGCACACACATTTAACGAGCTGTGGGGACGCTGTGGTTCTCCACACCGCAGCTCATTTAAATGTTTTTGGAGTGTCGCACGGGGTTTTTTGAATGTGATTCAACACTTGCTTTTGAGCTGCTAATCATCAGAATTTTTGATTCACACAGACAGCAAGTAACTGTTGCATACATAATTGGCAGGAGATATATGCACTCAACCCATGTACCACATTGTGAGACAGATGCTGTGTGGGGCACACCCAATCTGCTCTCCATTGGAGTGGGGTGGACGTGTCTGCTCACAGCCTGTGGTCATAATGCTTCTTCACCTCCCTCTCTCCCTCTGATATCATGGTTTTCTGAACCAAGCTCAGGAGGAGGGACTGACAGCTCCTCTGTCTCAAGTGCATGAACGCATCATGGTTCCCAGGCCTACGACACTTGTTATCGGGGCGCTCGTGGAACCTGCCGTGGAGGGAGGACGCTCTCCTCCAGGCGGGAGGAGCGATCAGGAGTTAATCAGAATAGGCCAGCACCTGTGGTCTGGCCGCTGTGCGGATCTTTTTGAGAGGATGGATCTCTCTCAAGATGTAGTGCGTACGATTCAGGATTCACATGCTGCAACCACCACAGCGCTGTTAACATCAAGTGGTCAGTTTTTCAGTGCTGCTGAACAGAGAGGTGTAGAGGCCATTTCATGTTCACTAGGTGGTGTGCCGTCCTTTCTGCAGCAGCTGATGGACAGATAGCTGGCGTTCATC